GTGTCCCCGCGGCAGCGCCGCCGGGTCACATTGCCGCGGCCTCCCGCGCGCTCGCCGCCGCTTTTTACCCGTTCGCCCCCTTTTTAGCCTCGATCGTCACGCGCGGTCCGTGAGGGAGAGGAGAGGGCGCCGGGGCTCTGCGGGGCCGGGCCGGCCGCCCTGCTGCCCCGCGGGCTGCCCCCGTGTCCTTGCCCTGCACCCGTCCCTCCCGCCTGTCCCCGACCACCCACCTGCCCCACTGCTTGTCCCGGGCCACCAACCTGGGCCACTGCCTGTCCTGGACCAGCGACCCCAAACTACCCGTCCCCGTGTCGGTCCTGGGCCGCCCACCCGTCCCCGTGTCGGTCCTGGGCCGCCAGTTCATGTCACCGCTGATGCCTGAGGGCTTGGGAGATGTTAAGCGCTGATGTCTGAAACGTCTCCTTTTATCTCCGTCCAGCGTAAGCGAGAAAGTTACCCAGCAAAGGCCGWGTTGTGGGCTTTGCCGTGAAACGCCGAGGTAGAGGGAGCGTCGCAGGCTGGCTTTAAGTTTGAAGGCAAAAGGATCAGCGGGAAGCRTTGGAGATGGCTCTGTAGCGTTCATGAACACCGTGTAGCGTTAATAAATGCAATTCCCCTCTTTAAAACTCAGAGACCTTCAAACTGCTCCCCGGTGAAGGCTGGAGGGGTAGCGATGCATTCCTGTTTGTTGACTTTCCTGTTGCCTGCTCGTTTAGTGGTCTGCGTCGCACGGGGTTTGGAGGCCACCGGCGCTTGCTCTTGTTTTGCTGCGTTCTTGTGCTTCATGGTTGCATTTACTTTGACAGCAAGGCCTTTTTTGGAGGTTATGTGCCCTTGAGATGCTTTTTTGGGATTTTTTTTTTTTTTGTTTGTTTGTTTTTTTGTTTGTTTGTTTGATAGATTTAGAGTGTTTTGAAAACATTCCGTGTTTTAAACTGCTCTAGTTTGGGAGGAGGGCATGTGCGAAGGAGCAGGAGAGGTGCCTGTGGGTGTTGCAAAACAGCTAAGGAGAAAGAGACCCTATAATAAAGGTGCTAGGGGGTTGATATAACCGCACTAGCAATCTGAGAGTGACCGTATGCAAAAATAGTCTTACAATTGGGTGAGCAAAACATCCGGCTGGGATTTGGGAAGCCTTTGAGCATCTTCACGTCCTGCTGGGGTTGTGGGTACTTGATGCTCTTCCTCTTTTCCCCACCAGCAAAGCAAAATCGGGATCCCTGAATGCGACTTGGAGTGTCCTTGATGCTGTGTTTCAGCGGGAGCTCTCCCAGCCCCAGCTCTGCCCGGGGTTTTACAGCTCCCTCCCTAGCACAGAAGCGTGACTCAGAAGCTACAATATTCTCTTCTCTTTGCTTGACCTGCAGCTGTATCTAGTAGGGTGAGTTAGGCGGCCTCAGCTGAAAACAGATGTTTGGGTCGCATTTGCAGCGTTGAGCTTAATGCAAAGAGGCTACAAGAAATGCAAGGTGAGCAGCAGGGCAGTCTTGCATGTGGGGTTAACTCTTGGAGCAGATGGGCTGGGTACAGGTCAGACAGGTTTAGTGCAAAAAAAAAATAAAAAGCTCAGGAACCAAGGATATTTTTTTCTAATAGCTTTTCTGCTCACCACATTAAGATGCATTCAAGTTTGCACCATGCTTAAGTGAGGCTGAGGGTAGTGCTTAAAACATAGTGTCTGTGCCCTTTTCTGTTCCAAAGCGACACAAAAATATTTTTGCATAAAAATTTCCGTACCTGAGGAAGGGAGAGGATTTGTCCTGTTGTGTGGAAGGGTGAACTGAAATGCAAGCGACTCAYTCAAGATGTATTCCACATAATGCAGTGTGGAAAAGCGTGGTTGTTTGGAAGTGGCTCCCCCTGGAGACGCCTGTAGATTGTCCCCTTCGATGATGGGACGCTTTAGTTCTTTTCGTACTCTGATGTATTTTTAAATTCTGGGTTTTGTTCTGTTTCTGTTTTTAGGTTAGAGGTCGTAATCTATTGCTGTGTTGAAATAGCTCCTGGCGAGGGTTGCACAGATACTGACAGGCTGCTTGTATTGCCAATAATCTCAGGTTGGGATCAAAAATTCCATCTGTGCCAGGTCCTGCTATCACTCAGGGAGCACCTGTGTGCCTAGGGTGACACTAAGAGGAACAGAGTTAAAATCTACTTGGAAAGAGAAAGCTTGTATTTGTGTGGGCCTTGGTGAGGATAAGAGGTTTATACTATATGTATTTTATATTTTACTGTATGTATTTTATATTTTACTAACTGGCACGTCCTTGTCTCTGCACTTCTGGGGAGAAATAACCGTCGAGAGGAGGATTCGAGCTGGGAAGACGCTTCACTTTGTGCCTTGCCCTCCCGCAGGGACTGTGAGCGGCTCCGCGGAGGGACCCTGAAACTCTGCCCTCCTGCTCAACTGCTCCACTCCCTCTCAGAGAACTTAATCCACCTCGCAGATAAGAGCCGCTCTTCAGGTTTGGCCTGTGGAAAGCGCCGTTGTGGTGCTCCCAGCAGTCCTCTTCTTCCAGAAACTAAAGAACGAAGCACTKTTGTTCCCTGCCAAGCTTTTCCCTGGGCTGCAGCTCGTGTGTTCCAGGCTGGGTTCAAAGCACAGCTCTCCTGGGCTCCCCTCAGCAATGCTGCTGGCTTTGCTAGCAGCACTTTCACATATAACCGTTGCTCTGGCTTCCACAACTGGCGTAAATCAGATAATCTAAAACCGTGTGAGGAATTTGTGTCTTTATCCTCAGTTTTCCTGGCAGACCTGAGTGTGTCTTTGGCTGAGGGAGGCAGCAGGAATATTTATCTTGCAGTTTGGAGCTCAGAAGCATGCAAAAGTATTAAACTCTTCCACATAGGGTCATTTAGTGAATCTTTTAATTGAGCTGTCAATGATTCTTTAGAATTATGCTAATTGTTTCTGAGCAGATCTTTAGAAGGAAGGAGCGCTGTGGATTATTCATAACTGAAATTTGAGGCTGAAATTTGTATGCAACAGAAAGATGAATGTGACTGAGGAGAGCTGAGTCTTTGGGGCATATCTGCTTTTTGTTTTCTAATGGCTTAATCAAACTGGAAGGCAAAGACAGGCCTCGAGGGGCCATCAAGTTATGTAGCTTGTCCCCTGCTCAGAGCCCTTTTATTTTCCCTGTGATTTTCTATGATGCTTTTGCTCCAAGGCTGAATTTAAGGCTGCAGTAATCCCGGCTCTTTCCAGATCTCTTTCTCTGTCAGGCTCAAATGCTCAGCTTAACAATTGAAGGAAATGTAATTGAGCGGCTTCCCTGGGTACTGTTTAACTCCAGCCTCCGTGGGAAAAAAAAAGTGTGAAGATTTCTGTGGGAATTCTTTCAGTTTTCTTTTTTTTTTTTTCCTTATTTAATTATATACTTTCATTAACACTGCTAACTGTGTTTAAGAAAAGAGCCAACAGGAACGAGGTAGCTATTGAGTAACACAGGAGGCTGGCTTGGCTGATTGGGGTTGTGCAAGGGACTTTACCTGTACGAAGTTGAAATTGTGCCCCACAGGTGAATTATGATTTCATCAAAGTTCATGTAACAATAGTGTCTGCGAGCTCTTAATTATGATAGACCTGAGCGGTCCCCTGTAATCTGTAATTTCCTTCCTAAGAAGGTTCCTATTGGGACTTATAAAGGATATTTAAACATCTATATGAGAGGTGAAGCAGAAATCTTGCTGCTCATATTGGAATTATTAGGTCTCTGAGAAGCATAAGCAAGTGAAAATCTTGCTTATTTATTAAACAGGAAAATACTGTTTTCTGCTCAGCACGTTGCTCATCTGGAGTTCACCTGCAGCCGTGGTTTAAATCAGTGGCTCTGCTGTTCCCAAGTGTCACTGTTTAGTCCACGCTTTTTGCAGCTGTTTCTGTACAGGTTGTTGCCCTCTGTCCTAGTGAACTCGCAAGGGATTCCAGGTTGAAAGTCACATGCATATGATTTCTGTGGAAATACCGATTTGCAGCTCACCTTTCATGGAAGGGAGTCACTGCCAGGGCTGCAACAACCACCCTTCATCACCAAAGCTTCCTCCTCGCGGCTCCTGGTGACTGAATGGGGATGGAATAAGCTGCTGCCGGCCTCATCTCACCGCCTCGGAAGCAGTTACGCAGTTTTGGTGGTAATTAAAGAGGAGCAGGTAGCAGAGCTACATTTCTTCTGCCTATCTCATGAAACCACTACATTCCATGTGGCATAAAGTCACTGCAGCTCCTATATGCTGAAATTGTGGTTTTGTCATTACTTGCAGCTCCCACATCCAAAGCTCCAAATGACTTCATGATTCCTGCCCAAGGAGAAGGCCAGTATTCCTTAGGTAAATAGCTGCCGCTGGCGTTCAGCTGCTGGTGCTCACTGTTTGCTTTGCAGTATCTGCCTGTCCTTGCTGGATCAGTGACATTCTTTCTGAAATCTTGATGTTTTGTGGCAGGTCTAAATTCCACTGGGGACTGCCAGGCAAGCATGTTTTCAGCAGCGCTGTGTTGCACGTTGCTCTCTGGGCTGGATGCTCAGGCTGCTGCTGGTTCCCAACTCCACACTAATGTGGAAACGACCACGACTGGCTCCATTCTCACAGATTATGTGCTAACAGATGGCTCCAGCTCTGGCAGCTCGGGAGTGGTTGTGATATTTGCAGCTGATCAGGGAGGAACCTGCCCTCTCCACGCTTCAAGTTCTGTGCAAATAATAATTAGCAAGGAGGAAACCAGCTCTGCTGCTTCCCTCCTGCCTCTCGTCCCTGGAAGTTGGAGCCTTGGGCTGCAATGGGAGCCTCCCTTGCTCTCTGGCCTCTGGCGTGCGGGAGGGATTTCCAGGAGGTGCTGTCTTCATGATGTGACGTTTGCCTTTTAAATAAAGTTTAGTTGCAAAAATAGTAAACATAGAATAAGCTGCAAGCCTTTCCTTGGCAGTATGATTTTAATTTTAAACACCATAACCTGAGAACTTGCCCTTATCCCTTAGTTAGTTGTGTTGGTCTTTGAAACTCACCGGGTCTTTGGCTGAGAAACTAATTATATTAAGACGGTGTAATTGAAAATACAATCAAATGGCCAGAATTGCATCGTGGTTGTGTTCACAATAGGCTAGGAGAGCTCAAGCTCYTTTTTTGTGGATGTCTCTCCCGCCGCTGCCTTTGGCCATGCGCCGGTACCGGCCTGCGCGACGTTCTCCCTTGTCAGTTGCTTTTATCATCCGAGCAGCTCCATTCCGTCTCAGCTGTCCTCTTAATCAAAACCACCACCGAAAGAGGCAGAACGTCTCGCTTGTCAGAGAGTCGATTTGGCGGCTTGATTGAACTCGTTCAGCTGTTCATCCRGTGCAGCCGGAGAGAGCTGGGAGGATGGAGGGGTAGGAGCAGCAGTGCTCTAGTTTTAGGGTGCAGAGCCAYGCGGGGAAGGGACTTTGCTGAAGCAATTGTTTCTGCAGTTGCCAGAGCATGGACAGGCCACCTTGAAGGAATCCTGGGCTCCAAGGGCCATCACAAAGAGACCATCCCGGCTATGTCCACCTGAGTTTGTCAGAAGGGAGGGCCCGAGCTGCCCCGTTTTGCACTTTGATAAATAAACCTAAATGCTGAGACTCTGCATTAGCACAGCACAATGCAGCCGATGTGTTTCCCTAGCCAAGGCTGGCTGCTGGAATAGCTGCTCTGTACTTTGAATCAGCTACCAGGAATTTYGTTGTAAAAGCCCAGGGTGTGTTACTCATTAAACTTGCCTAACTCCTGAACCCATCTTGACCAGAGGTTTTGCTTTCAGATTATAGATTCCCCTAGACGGGGAATGTTTTACCCTGCAGCTGCGTGGCACGTGGTCCTGAGGAGTCGGGGTCCAGGTGAGCAGCAGGGCCTCGTGTAGCTGTGGCAGAGATGTGTTATAAGGAGTAAATCTAATTTGCAGCTATTTGGCTTTCCTGACTATTGTGGTTTCTTAAACATAAGTAATGACTGTGTATGGGCCTTTGCAAAACACCTTGATTTTTTAAAAAGTCAAGCTGGTCCGTGCAGGGTTTCTGCAAATGACTTTGTGAACAAAACAGCTTGATGCTGATGCGAAGCAATGTCTGGTTTCTACTGGCCCAGCCCTACAGATTCACACTGAATCTTTCAAGCAAAACTTCCTCCTCTGTAGCTCCCACGTGCATCGTTGGCCAGAACAACCAGGAGTTGGTGATTCAGCTAAGCCGGGATTCAGCCCAACTCCAAAATAAAACTGTCTCCCTTAGCAGAGAGCAAGTGCAAAGGCTTAAATGTTAAAGTAGCATTTAGTATTTTTTAATTTGCAAGTTGAGGCCTGTGTTTATGCAGAGCATGTGTACAAAATTAAGCATACAGACAGGTGCTTGGGCGTTAAGGTTAAAAAGAACAACATTTCAGAATAGGATCAAAGAGAATATTGTTGAGTAAGTGGGTATCGTCTTTAGGCATGCACATCTTCTTGAATATTCCAGGCTTCATAACATCATTTTAGTATTTAAAATTTCCTGCCTGGTTTGTTTTAGTTATCTCTTTCTCAATCGTGTTTCAAAATCCTGTTTTACAGCCAACATGTGTTGCCTTCCTGAGCTCTTCAGTATGACTTCTATTTTTGTGGGTTTATTTTCAGCAGASACAAATCTGATATTGTGACCTACATTTCTTCAATTGAGATGGCTAGGGATAATATTTCTACCTCTGATTCCTTCTGTGCTTTTGCTTAAAGGTTATCCATTTATTTATTTTTACTATTCTTTCAGATATGTGAAATGAGAAGGGAAAGAAATGATATATAGTAAAAACAATTGACAGCCTGTGTTCTTGAGGACTGCATAAAGAAATGCTCTGCTCCATAGTGTTATGAATCGTCTTCAGTCCTGATCCTCCTGGGAACTGTAGTTTGCATGGGCCAACGTGACCAAGCTTGCACTATTTTCTAAGTGCAAACAGTGGTGCTGTTTGCAGTTCAAGTCATGCTTTGGACTCTTAAGATATTGCATTTCATTAAAATTTTGAGTTATTACCCTCGGAGCAACATGCTGAGAGCTTCAGTTTCCCAAAACACCCGTAGGAGTTGTAAGCACATTGGTATGTGTCATCCCAGAGCTCTAGCAAGTGATGTCTGGCATTAAAGATACCCAGGTGTGTTCGTGCTCCCTTGAAGCAAGTGTGTGGGTCACCCTCAGCTCCGTCATCACAAATTGGTCATGCACAAATACAGACAAAGCTGCCGTGTGTCTGCCTTTGCATTAATGTCTCTGCTGCAACCAAGGAGGTTGGAAAGTGAAGTCTGGTGCTTATTTATGAGAGCGATGTGGAGGGGGGAGAAATAGGTCAGCAAGTATGAAAGATGCTGACAAGCRTGTAATGTCTAGAGGTTGTTAAAATGGAAAGAAAAAAAGCTTAAGAAATGCTTTCCAAGTAAGCAGGCTGTTGTGCCACAGGTTTCCTAAGTAGCAGGTGAGGGCAGAGATGAAGCAACTTGCTTGAGGACACGCAAGAAGGTTGGGGCAGAACAGGGGAGCAGGTCAGGAATTCAAATTTCCTAATAGCACCGTYCTTGAAAGGTGGCTGATGAAGTGGGAAACTCTGTTTGGGTGATCTTGTTGTATAGGAAACTACTCTTTATAGTTCTAATCCATTTGGGACGATATATTTGTGGCTACTGTATAACTGCAATCTGCTTGTTTGGAGAGGTTTCCTTTTTGTGCTTGCTTGGGTTTTTCAAACTTCAGCTCTTTCGCTTTGGGGTATTAGAGGGTGAAAAACTCGAATCATAAAAGCAGAAATACTAGAAAATGAGATGCCAAAGCAAGAGCTTCTATTTAGATATTATCTCCGTATGTGTGTACTCTGTAGCTGAGGTTAGACTGACCTCTCCTTTCATGAGGCAGATGAGAACATATATTACAGCAAGAAACATCTGGGCAAGCTGCACTGATTCCTCAGCTAGCAGCATGTGTGCCTTTCAACTGTGGAGAAGCAAAGTTCTGCAGTGAGGGATGTGCTGCTTTTAGGCAAATCGCTGGCATCATCAAAATAGCCCTAATGGCACGTGTGAGCCTTTGGAACTACCCGCTCCTAAAATAACCTCCAAGTGCTTATGCCAGGCTTTGGGAGGTGCTGCTGTGGCTATTTATTCCCTTTTCCATGCCTGGGTTTTAAATTTCTGCATGTCTTCTCCTGTATCAAAATGCTTGAGCAGTCAGGCTGAGCAGCCGCTGGGAACCCCACTGTAAGTGATGGAAGAGGACGGGCCAGAATCTGCTTCTTCACTTCTAGAAATTACGGACGGTTTGATATTGTCCCCAAGGATGTTTAAATGTCACACGTGTGGTGGAAGGACAGGCTGCAGGGAGATGCAGTGAGCTCCTCATTCAGTCTCCCTGCCAGCGCTAATATGACTTGCAGCTGAGCTCCTTGTGGGTAAGAAAAGATGATGATCAGTGGCATAAATTTTATAAAGTGCCAAAGCACCTCTCCTTTCCCCTTCCTCCAAACTTGTACCCCAAATGGAAGAAATGCTCCTCCGCTGGCTCCTTGGGATAGGGTTTTTCCTGTAGAAATGGCCTCTGGAATAGGACTCTCTTCCCTCCTGTACAAGCTTTTTTATGGACTTTTGCTGCTTTTGACACTACCTCTTACTTTGCTCTTGTTTTCAATGTAGGAGCTGTGACTCTTCTACCCGCTTGTGAGTGCAACTGGTATGGGTAATGGTGTGAGAGCAGCTCAAGCGGATTTCAAACAGCAAGATGTGGAGCCAGTTATATCAGCTCATCTGCCATCAGAGGTAAGAACAGGAGGAGGCCCAAAGAGCCGCCACGTCCGTGCAGACCAGGAGCTTGAACAGCCAAGAGCAGCTCGGGATTGTTTGGGAAGGGGCCGGGAACAGCTCTCAGCTGTCGGGCAGGCCGGACTACACTCATCATTCAAGGTTATGTCTTGTTATGTCTTTAGTGGCAGGGCTGGGAACAGAGGCATCAGCTCTGGTTTCTCTGCTTGCGCTGCTGCTGCAAGATTCCTTGCAGAAACACTGTAAGGGAAAGCGCCGCTGAACCTTGCTCTGACTTAGTTCAGGGTCCCTGCTCAGATGAAGCTGCTTCAAAGCTGTAACATGAGCTGAAATTCAGACAGCGCTGCCTGTACCCTAGTGCACAGCTGTCCTTACACCTAGCACCAAAGACTGGAAGGGAAAACTGATCAAATAATGTTTTTTATTGAAAAGAACACAACTTTTTTAGCTGTGGAGCAGCACGAGAAAAGGAAAATGTTAACTCACTTCTCCGTGAGGCACAAAGCATATCAATGGTTGACATTCTTAAGCCTTGTCTTGACTTGTCTTTCAGTTCATAACCTTCACAGTGTTAGATTTCAGGATTTTCACTTGCTTCCTGCCCACGTGTTGCAAGAAGATAGCTGTTTATAAATACGAGCTGTGGCAGGAACGTCAATAACAAAAGCACTTCCATTCCATATATCATAGTGGGAACCCTTTCTGCTTAGGCTTTAGGGATAATATACAAATAAGGCTCGTGCATTAACTAGAAGGGCAAGAGAGAAATTTTCTATGTGGCTAAAGCAAGAGGAGTTACTGAGATAACTTTTAGAAATATTAATAGAGAAGAAACAGTGCATGGAAGAGGAGGTGACTTTGGAAATTGCACGTGTGTTGGCAGACAAATCTAATCTTTGTTCTTTGCGATCTGACCTGCATTTATTGTGCTTTGAGTTTGCCATTTTGGAGGGAACGCTGGCATTTCCAAAACGCTGGCACTGATTTTTGGTGGTCTGAAGTCTTTCACGAAGGGGTTTTGTCAGAGAAACCAAGCCTCTGAAACAGCCAGTTGCTGTTTTGTGTTTATTGCAGGGAAGGTAAGGCAAGATCCATAACGTATATTGCAGTTCCCTTGGACAACTCCTAGTAGGCTGCTCAGATGCCTTTTTGGGTGCAGTCCAATTCTCATGTCTGTGCACRTTTCTTACCTGTGTGTGTGTGTATGCTCTGAGCACAGCTTGCTTGTCTGACTGGCAAGGGTCTGGGTTAACGTTTATGTTTCATTTTAATGAGGGCGGTAATTACTTTGTAATCTGTTTTTTCAACATCCATATACTAATAATCCCTCAAGGTGTTTCAGAGTCCCCTTACAAATGCCTTTTTTGCACTTCTTTCTCTCTCCAATGCTGAAAATTCCGTTTCAGAAATGGTTAGTGGGATAAATGCTGCAGCAAAAGTAAAATATCACAAGCTTTGRTTAGGGCTGGCTGTGTCACCCTGAATGATGCTCTGTTGCAGGGAACGCAGGAGAAGAAGAAAGTGCTCAACTCCCTGATGTCAGGTGCACTGGCCGGTGCCGTTGCTAAAACAGCAGTAGCTCCACTGGATCGGACAAAAATCATGTTTCAAGGTAAGTCCTGCTGGCTTGTGCAAAGCCTGGCTTTGTTGTTAGCAGAATCCAAAGCAGCTGCTCTGCTCTGCCCAGCCAGCGCGTTGTGCGTGTGCTCTGTCCCACTCCGGCCTGCGGAGACCTGGCACGCCGCACACGGATGAGGCTAAAGCCCTTTTGTCTGACTCCTGGTAGGATTATTGTGGGTGTCAGTCAGCAGTGTGTTTGGCCAGGCCTTTTGGATTCGAGTCCCATGGTAGTCAGCAAGAGCTTTGCTGCTTCGCTGTGGTGCAGAGCTGCAGATCTGCCTGCTTGGGGACACATGATAGCGGTTCAGCCTCTGGCACAGGGAGCGTTCAGGGGTTGCACGGGAAAAAGATGCTGTAAAGGCTGTGCTTAAGGAGCTGGATGGTGACGCTTTGGATCTCTGTGTCCGCTCAGTTTGGAGCAATCTGGCAAGCAGGGAGCCGCTGTGTGATTTCCTTTCCCTTTAGTAGGAGGAATGTGAGCAGATGTGAAGCTGGAAGGAGGGAATTGAGATGTTTCTTGCTACAGATGCTRGGATGTGCTTGTTCAAATGCACGTGGTCTTTTCTAGTAAGAATAGTGCTGTGTTCTTAACCAAATTCTATTCTAAGTTTTAATTCTTAATTCTAATTCTAAACCAAAATTACTTTGGTTTAGATTTGAAGTTAATTATGAAAACTGCAAGAAACAATGAAGCTGGCATACCTAGCTTTGTATTGCAACCCTYTCTGGAACCCATAATCTAAAAGTGAATAACTGGAAGTGAAATTCAGCTGATTTGAATAGAAAATGCTCAAGCACTTAACTGAATTGGGATTCAGCCCCAACATGGGCTCTCATTTCAATGCAGGAACAGTCATTTGCATCACTTGTTCCAAAAGGAAGAGAACAGGCTGTTAATACAGTAGACATTTGGCCAGGCCACAAATTTAAATGTGGTTGGCCTCCCAGCTTAAATGAATTGGGTAGGTTTAACCTAATCCCTGGATGAGATTTAATTTTAAATTGACTTTCATGTGACATGATTTTCAGGGTTTGCGTAACGGCCGTTGCGGGATGCAGATCAGGCGGGGGCGGCCGTGGGGATTGCAGCCTGGGGCCAGATGCTTGGGCAGGGATGAGGACGGGCTCTGCTTCCCCCCGGAGCAAACAGCACAGGTCACATAAGGTTGGAAGTGTCAGGATCGGAGGTGGAAGCTGCAGGATTGGGTGAATCAACAGCTGTCTGTGTAAAGCACCGTTAATTGTACAGGCCTAYGTTTTATTAAAAAATCCTGTTTGCTTTGGCATGTTAAACTCGTTGCAAAGGATGTGATTAAAAATTGCTTATTGTGACCAGCAGTTTGGTATCTAATGGGGTTCCTCCTCTTGCTCTCAGAAAGGTTTTTACCCTAGGGTGGCTTCCTGGCTGTGAAGAGGGAGAGTTTCCTTGGGTCATATGAGCAAGGAAAGTTGTTCAGTGAACYAGAGCCTGGAGAAGTTTCCTGGTGGAGAAAAGAGATCTCTCCTCCTTGCAGAACTCGCCACACTTGGTTAGTGAAGTGCTGTTAGGAGAAGAGAGAGGAGGAGAAAAAAGAAGTGTTGAATTGTATAAAGGAGCAGCGCGGGGAAAAATGTATTTGCAGGCAATTGTTTGATACGCTTGGGAGGTTACAATTCTCGAAGGAATTTGAAAGAAAGTGCAATAGACACTTAATGGGAGCCATGTTTCATTAGTGTTGCTGCTCGGGCTTTCGCCTGGGTTTTCCTTCCTGCAATCGGAGTGTTACAAAACACAGTTGCTGCATGCCAAAGAAATCCTGCTTCCAAGTGTTACATAGCCAAAGGGGTGCTGTCAATTTAGATGCAAGGAGAGAGACCGACCTTGGAAACTCCTACCAAAATCATCGTTGTAAAGAAGCTCTATTTTTTTTTTCTTGCATTAATAAAGAATTAATAATTATGATATTTTACTCSTTTAGCTTATAATTTCACTCCTTGGATAAAAATAACTGTGTGTTTTCCTTGATACATCAAAATATTATTGCAAGACCTAATGCTTGCTTTTTCTTTTTAGTGTCTTCAAAAAGATTTTCTGCCAAGGTGAGGTGATGTGTCTGTCTCCTGTGGACTTGCTGTGTTTGATTAATCATAGTAATAGTACTAAAAGCAACCTCTGCTTGCCCTGAACTTTCTTGCTTGGGTTTTATTAGCCACTCTTGGGGTGAAAGAGCACAGATGGGAGGACTGGAAGCTGCACTGCTTACAATGCTCCTTAGGACAGTGCTTATTCTTCCTCACATATTTGTCCAGCACCTAATACAGAGGAGCCTCCGTCCTCATTTGTGCTCCAGGTCCCACCTTTGCCACAGTATTTACTATCCATGTCATCGCTCAGGGCCATTTTGCAAGTTCTTCTTCCCTAGAGGTTGCTTTCTGTCCCCAGCTGCTATTGGAGCTGTCACAAAGTGTATAGGAAATGTGAATTTGGGAGCTGATCGTAACGTGCCTTGCTGAATGTCTTGTTGCATGTGTGTCGTGTGTGCTGTGCTAATGTGTGTGATCCAAATGCTTCTGCGTTATACTAAGAAGATTAATTTGGCTTGAGAAGTGGTTTGTGCAAACATCAGCCCAGCTCCATGCCTCACTCTCAGAGAGAAGGGGAAGATGCTGCCTTGAATGTAAAACTGGCTTCCTGGCTGCTTCTTGTTTGCTGTAATGTGTCTGATTCGGTCCCCCCAAAGAAGTGCTTTCAGTTGCCGTATTCTGGCATCAGAGGGGTGAGCACCTGATCCCTGCTTGCTGTGGGCAGGGTGGGAAGGAGGGATAGGAGAGGTTTAGCTATTGGGTCACCTTTCCCCCCGTCTTGCTTTTACTGCCTCTTATCGTGCCGTGCGTGTGTGACCTTTGCTCGTCCCCGCAGGAAGCCTACAGGCTCATTTATCGCACCTACCTCAACGAGGGCTTCTGGAGCCTCTGGCGAGGCAACTCRGCCACCATGGTCCGCGTGATCCCTTACGCTGCCATCCAGTTCTGCGCCCACGAGGAGTACAAGCAGCTCCTGGGCAGTTACTACGGCTTCCAGGGAAAGTAAGAGGCCGCGTGGCTTTGGTCCTTGGGATAGCAAGGAGGATGGAACAGTTTGGGGGACTCGAGGCTGCAGGAAGGAGCCCTTTTCTTTGCGTCGTGCCGACTTTCTGCCGAGCAAGGGGCTCTGTGTTGGCACAGAGCTCTGCAGACCCCTCTTGGGGTGATTTTGCAGAACAGGGTGTGTGAGGGGCTAAGCGATGGGCTGAGCTTCCAGTTTTGGATGGGGGAAATCTTTGAGAAGACCCTATCTTCTGGAGGCGTGAGCAAGAAGTGGCCTAGACAGTGAGTTAGCACAGCCCCATGYTGAGAGTGGGCAGGCAAAACAAAGAGCTTTTCTCTGCAGGGGAAGCAATGAGATCCAGCCTTGCACTGATATCTGAGCCTCTCTCCTCTGAGGCCGAGAGCCTCTTGCTCTTGGGCACGTGGTGTCCAAGGCACCCCGGGCAGGCTGGCTGCCCTCCATAGGGATTTGCTCCAAGCCTCTGACCTGGCAAACCACAACTCACCCCAACCCAACCCCAACCCACCCTTCAGCGCCCAGGCAGGGAGGGGATTTGGTAGCGGATAGAGTAGAGCCATGCTCAGAAGCCAAGTCGTATTTCCATCTCCAGGTGATCTGTTTGGTCTCTTCTCTCACCTTACTTTAGAGCGCTGACACCCTTTCCTCGATTCATTGCTGGCTCTCTGGCAGGCACAACAGCTGCCATGTTAACCTACCCCTTGGATATGGTCCGAGCTCGAATGGCTGTCACGCCGAAGGAGATGTAAGTGCCCAACGAAAGCAAGTACGAGCACCATGAACAAATGCAGAGCTTTCTTTTAAGGTCAGATGCCTTTATTGCCATTTTCTGGGTCACTTCTTGCTCGGAGCCTTTGTTGTATTAAACGTCTTACAGCTTGGGTCTGAGCACTGATTAAATGACCGGAGCCTTGGTTAGTCTGGGGCCTGGCAGGAGATCAATACTGAAAGACCTCACTAGTCAAACTTCTGTGTTCACTGGCCCAAACAGATGGGGTAGCATGTGGTGATAGGGCGGTAGGAGAGCCCATGACTGGCTTCTCCACTTGCAGACAGGCTTCTTAAATCCCTTCTGAGCTGTTTGATGTGCTCAGAGACAAATTAATTAATTGCTGATCCTCCAGAGTCCTGCTGAAGTTGCTACCAGTGTGTGCAGGCACTAACCAGCACAGATTTTGTTTCCCTGTGTCCACGTGCTAGGTACAGCAATATCGTTCACGTCTTCATCCGAATATCCCGTGAGGAAGGATTGAAGACATTGTACAGAGGATTCACACCAACGATTCTTGGAGTGATCCCATATGCTGGGCTTAGTTTCTTCACCTATGAGACGCTGAAGAAGCTACATGCAGGTAAAGACCACTTTGTTTTGTTTGCTTTCAAACGACGTGGTGTGGGCTTTCGGCCAATTTGCAGGGTTTGCACTCTGTGATACAAGACCTTGTCCCAGCTTTGAAGCCAGCTGCCAAGTTCAGTGCTTGCAGAGGATGCCTCCTGCCTCCTCTCTGCAGGTCCTTGCTCTGGAGAAGGTAAGCAGCATCTCTACCTTGCAGAGGGACACCCTGACGTGCAAGGACTTGCTTGCGTGCTTGGGAACAGAATCTCAGGAGTTGTGGCACTCGGTTCTCTCGCTGGCTCTCAGCCCACTTGACCTTAATCGTGTTTATTAGGAGGAGCTTTCTCCACTCTGCCACTTTCTCTTTCCCAGATCACAGTGGGAAATCTCAGCCATCGCCTCCAGAGCGGCTTTTGTTCGGTGCCTGCGCAGGCTTGATTGGCCAGTCGGCTTCCTACCCCCTGGACGTGGTTCGCCGGCGAATGCAGACGGCCGGGGTTATGGGACACACGTACAGCTCCATCCTTCTCACCATGCAGGAGATTATACGAGAAGAAGGACTAATCCGTGGCTTGTACAAAGGCCTCAGCATGAACTGGGTCAAAGGGCCGATTGCGGTGGGAATAAGCTTCACAACCTTTGACCTGATGCAGATCCTTCTCCGTAAATTACAGCACAGCACTAACGTCCAAAGGTAGTAGCTTAATCCCCGCAGCCCTTGCTGGGGAGAAGTACAACGTACACRTATAAAGAGCAGTGCTAGCATTCCCAAACTTTGTACATGCTCTCCTGCAGCTGAGAACTTACCTTTCTTTTCTTTCCTTTTGTTCTTTTTTTTTCTCTTTTTTTCTTTCATTTTTAATGAGCCTCTGAGTTGTATGGAAACCTCAAGCTGAAACTAACCTTTTCCTAACTGAAATTCTCCTTGCAGTTCTGCAAAGCTGTGTCCTCTAGAGTAGCTGCCTCATCCTTCTGCTTTGTTCTGTGATACCAGAGTGGAGCCCCTCAAASAAAGACGTGCTGCTTCCGGCTCCTCACCTGGTTTCTCTGGGCAGACGGAGAGGTGGAGGATGAAGGAGGAGACTTGGTGCTGTTCGAATGGGCCCCCGACTCTGCAAAGTGACTGCTGCTCTGGTCAGGCAGTTCTTAACACTGTACATGTGTTGGCTGGAGGCAGTTTGCCAAGTGCAATATTCCAGTTAATCTGCCTGGGGAATTCCACATTCCTCTGACCAGTAAGCATTGGTCTCCTTGAAACAGGACACAGCAGGATTTAACAGGTCCAGGTTACTCTGAAAGCTGACTGTGAGCTCTGGTTGGAAATGCTGCCCTTTCTCAAACGTTATTTTCGTTTCTGAGTTGCTTGCAGYGGTTACCAAAGACTGCGGACAGCAGGGGAGGAAAATTCGGAGCAGTTTTGTAAATCAAATTGTGGTGTCTGTTGTGTCGCTCACGAGGGGCCTGGCCCCACAAACTGGATTGACTCAAACCCCGGTAGCGCTTTCGGGCCCTCCGAACCCTTCACTGGTGCCATGGCCTTAAAGGCAGCATTTTCTGAGGGACGTGGCAGTTTGTCGTGATCGTGCCCTAGTCTGAGAGTGTTACATACTTCCATTTGAAGTAATTGTTTCCTTCAGTATTATTGTAGCTGCTTTATCCGCAACACGAGAATGAACAACTCCAAGATGCACACGTGCTGCAGACCTACCTATATCCTGGAAGGCTGCTCGTGTCTGGTGAATGCAGTGTAGTAGTTGACTTCCAAACAACGCTGTTGTCTTCTGGTGCCTGCTGTGTAGGTTGTATCACCTCTATACGTTAGCTCACACTTAAAGCCACTTGCTTTTATTCTTCGAGTTCTTCCGGACCAACAGTGTCCTCAGGAGAATAAGCTCCACAGCCAGTATTGACTCCTCTGAAATTATAGAGAGTGCCAATCATCCTCCATTGCAATCTGCAAATGAGTGACAACCTTTCAGTGTTTTCCTTYGAGGTCAATACTTTTTAGGGAAATGGAGATTTGAGGAGTTTCCATTCCTATATTAAATTTGGAGATATAGAAGGGAGATGACATGAAAAGAAAAATGAGGTAGGATCTGGAAGTTGTCCTTCTCTTATGTATATACTTTGGCCACTTTAGTTTGAGCCYTGTATCATGACTTTGCTAATGGGAATGAAGGTAATTGCACAATTGGTAGAAATAGCTTTCCCCTTTCTTTTGTCTTTGCACTTGTTCTTTGGAGCATAACTTGCTTCTGATGCCAAATATTTCCCTAGGAATTAAGCACCTACACTTCCACTTTATGGACATGGTGGAGAGCCAGCTTCCTGAAGTATTAGCGTGCACAATGTCCCCAGAACACATGGGATCAATCATACTTTAATGGTTGTGGATGGGCGGGGTAATTAACCTCAGTAATTTCTGCCTCTAAGCCCACAAACAATTCTTTCCGTTGTGAAACTTGACTGCAATCACTGATTTACCTTGTAGTTAAAGAAAGGTAGATGTTGTCTTCTAAGTCTGCGTAGATGATAGCCACAAAATCTGTAAACTTTTGCTCCCCTTGCTAATGGAAGATTATCAGCTCATCTTTTCACATGGGTGAATTTTTATGTCCTTTGCAAGAGCTTCSTTCTGTTTTTCTTTTTCTCCAGTGGAGAAGCCAGTTACTTCTGCTCTTGTTTATCATGTCTGGCCCAGTGAGGAGATACTGCGTCTTGCCATAAAGACAAGGTACAGAGCCACAGCAGGGTGACTCCACGTGGACGGGTGTCCGACCACGTGCCAAGGTCCTCCTCAGCTCGGAGGCTGCTGGTGCTCCGAGCAGCTGGGACTTGGTGGGCTCCAGGACRTGGCACCTCCGTTGGGAAGGACTGTCTTGCTCTGCAGCGGGTAGGTCAGCTCAGGCAGATGCTGCAGACCCTGATYTATGTTGAGTGTCCCCGGACCCCTGTGGTAATAGAGGGAGTTCCCTCCGGGTTCCCGAGCGAGGATTTACACTGGATGCCTCCCGTTTGGGACTGAACGGGAAGGCAGATCCGCACGGAGCTTCTTCCTCTGTGCCAGGATTGCAGCTAATGCACTAAACAGGAGGGAGGCCTCTGGGAGAGGAAACTTGGAGCTCGGAGACGTGGGAGCACCGGCTCCAGAGAGGCGCTTCCTTGGTTAGCGGCTGCACCCGGTTTGTGCTTTGRTGGAGCTTTATCCAAACCCCTTTCTCCAGGCTTTGCAAGGCCGAGTGTTTGTTCAGAGATGCATCTGAATTCAGTCTGCAATGATTTTGGTGCTCTTGTTTCTTGGGCAAAAGTTTAAAGGAACTGTGTGTTTTTGTTCTGGAGTGTTTTAAATAGCTTTTTTTCTTTTTGCTTTTTCCCTGCTGGCTTGAATGCTGGAGAGGAGAAACAGAGCGTTCCCTTCCCTTAATCCTCGCATGAATTGAGATGTGTTCCACATCTCTGCTGCCTGGAGCAAGTGCCCGAGGAGTTTGGGGCACACCAAATGGAAAGGGAGGGTCCTTGTGTAGCCAATGGCCCTGAGAACAAAGGCAAGTCTAGCAGGAAACTTTTCTAGATCTTTTCTTTAGTTTTTCTTTCCTCAGCTATCTCAAAATCCCCGTTTTTTTTCATACTCTCCAAGCTCTTGCTTTCGTTTTGAACTCATAYGTCTCATTGTTCTTCAGTGCATTAGCAGCCAAACTTTAACTCGTGCTTCTCTCTCATCTCCTCTCCCTCCTTCCTGCTTCTGCACCTTTCGACCCGCACTAGCACTTCAAGAAAATCAGGTCCAATGAAATGCATCCCAAATGACAAAAATGCAGCTGTGACAGGAGTCCCCCCGGGCTTCCTAAAGAAAAGTGAGGATGTTGGTGTCTGGATATGGGAGCCGAAAGGCACTAGGTGCTGGAGCAAAATAGTYGGATTTCTTTTTGGGAAGGGTCTCGAGTGACTTGTCCCGTTGAGCACCTTCTCTGTGCACTGTGAGATGCGGCTGCCTCTTGGGATCTGCTCTTGGTAGCTCCGTGTGATGCCCACTGTGCTCCGGTCCTTCCAGGGGGGTAGAGCAGGGGGATCCGGTCCTGCACGGCACAGCTTGAGGGACAGGAGTAGGACCCTGGCTGGACCCGCTCTGCTCCATGTGTCCCGCGCCACCTGCTCTCCGGGAAGGCAGGGATGCCAAGGAGCCGGCATTGACCCTGGTAGGAGGATGAGGAGCGCAGTCACGGAGGCAGAGTGGCAAAAGCCACGGGTGGCAGCGCGGGGCACACTGCAGTGCACGTCGCTCCTCAAAGACAGCCCCAACAAGTGAACTTTGCACCACCCTGTGCAAAAACGATGGTTCTTCCATGCGCTTCCCCTCGTCGCCTTTGGCCCCGAAGCACCGGCGCGCTCCRTCTCCATCCCGTGGTGTCTTCAACTCGAACACAGCTGCGGCKCAGAAGGAAAACCCAGCAGAAGCTCCGCGGCACCCGGCACGGAGCCGGAAACGGAGGTGGCCTTGCCCCAAAAGAGCCTTTTTTCCCCCCTCCCAGGGGCCGGTTCTTCCCGCTGCTCCCGTTCACCCCTTCCCTGCGGCGCGGGGCTCCCCGCGCTGCCTCTTTGCCCCGCGCGCAGCCCGGCACGGAGCCGGCTTTCGGCAGGACGCGGCCTCCCCCTCGGCGTGTGCGTGGCAATGCCTGCTTTTCTTGGATCTGGAGTTCTATTTTATTGCAGTGAAGACACTTTGTTATATGATGTTTATATATTTTAAGATTCGTGCCAACAGAGGATGTATATTTAATAAAAAACTTAATTGACGYGGCAGGCTCGCTGCGGGTGGCTCCCCTTGCACTTGGTGCCAGGGAGCGAAGGGGCCGGGCGCAGCTGCGGCATCGATCTGGGATAAAACTGCTCTTTGGCAGTGGGATTTCCTATGCAGAACCCGGGAATGATGCGGGATGGGGACAGGGACACGCAGGCACTGGCAGCAGGTGGCACTGTCGGCTCAGGCAGGGCCGAGCGGCGCCCCACAAGTTGGGGGGCCAGGCTGGGGCCTCACTTGCCCCATGGGGCGTCTGGTGCTTCCAGCTCCGTTTCGGTACCTGGCTTGGGGACAGGGACAAAGTGGGGACCGCAGGGGCTGCCAGCAGAGCCCCCGTGCAGCACAAAGCAGCCCCTCGGTGTTGTTTAAGGCACATACTGGCTATAACGCAAAGAAACGAGGGGCAGGATAATCCCCGAGGGAGGAAGACGGCGGGAAGCTCTCGCGCTCTTCGGTGTCGCCCACGGCTCCGTCTGCTGCTCCCGGTCATTGTCCCAGCCCCGGGTCACGTCGGGGCAGGTCCCCGGGGAGGCTCCGTCTGCGTGTGTGAGCGCGGCCGGAGCAGCCCTGGCAACGGGGCCCCCGGCCTCGTCCCCAGCCCGGGCTGCTGCTGCTGGAGCCGCAGCCCCCGAGCTCCTTTACCGGAGCCCTTCTGGCCTTCAGCGTCCCCAAAAGGTGAACGTGGCACGTAGAAATTCCTCGTTTTCCACTAGGCACTTGCCCAGCTGGCTCTCCTGATAGCCCTGCTGACAGCGCCCGGCTGCCTTCTCCTCTCTTCTCCAGGCAATTAGGACCATTACCAGGGATCGGAGCAGGGATGAGAGCCCCTCTCCCTCCTCCTGGCCGCCCACACCAGCTAATCCCATTTCATGCAGCGGGGCCGGCACCCGCGGGCGCTGGGGAAAGCTGGGTCGTGTCCTGACCGCGGCGCCACCAGGACCTGGCACYGGGGGAGCCCCACGGGCGAGCAGAGCCACAGGTTCCGGAGCAGCAAACGCACCCAAAATCATTTATTTATCTCTAAAAGAGCCCGAGGCCAAGGCGGCCGCACCGGGACTTTCACACCAAGCAGMAGAACGGCCCCGAGGGCTCCAATCCTGCGGAAACGCGCGCCGGCCGCAGCACCTCCCGTGGCATCCGCAAGGAAAGGCGGCTCCATGCGGGATGGCATCGGWGCGGGCAGTGCTCGGCCCGCGGAGCTGCCCCGGGGCACAGGGAGGCGAGAGGCGCTGCCGGCRGGCACAGGCACAGCGGTGACGGGCGGCAGGGGCTGGCGGTGTCCCTGATGTCCCCTCCCTCGCCAGAGGTGCAAAATGCACCCAGATGGCTGCAAAGCCGTCCSGGGCACGTGCAAGCAGGCGGGGTGACCACGGTGGCCACCGGCGAAGGCAGGAGCCCCGCGGGACACTAGGGACACGCTGCCACCTGCCCCCCGCAATCAGGAGGCCGCCAGGTACTGGTGGAAGTAGAGGCCGAAGAGGCTGGTGACCACCTGGCAGGCGGCCACCCACCACGTGAGGAAGGCGAAGAGGCCGCGGAGGAAGAGCGGCGTGAAGATGCCGCCCAGCGCCGCGGTGATCTGCTCCACGGCGGCCTGCACGTCCTCGCC